TAGGGGGGAATCCCCCAGGGTGAGAAGGAGGGAGATGGAGGGGAGGGGGGAGGGGGGGAGTGGCATTGCGTGCCCAGGGAGTCGAACCGTTGAAAGATGGGTCTGCCCCTCTGCGACGCGATGCCGCGGCCACTGGTGGTCACTGGCCCCTCCTTGAGCTGCATCCCGCGGGGCGCTCTCTACTGGGCGCGTCGCGTGTGCGCGCGAGCGAGCCCGCGCGTCGAGCGAAGAGCGGCGGGAGAGAGGAATGTGGGAAAAGCTTTTGACGTGACGACGGCGGGCATCCGCTCGCCACATCAAAACAGAAACGGAAGTGGACACGGCACACGGGGAGCACGACATCGGCCGTGTAGGTGTGCCACGCTGTTTGGCGTTTTAATTTGACTTATTTTGATCGCACGGGGTAAACAGCACTTCCGGAAAGTCAAAGTCGTGACTGCAACCTATCTGTCTCACACAAATCCACACAGACGGCTGGCTCGGTCCATCTCACCCAACCTTGGCAACCACGGCGCCACAAAGCGTGACACCACACGGTAGCCCCACCGTGGCACCCTGGACCTAGACGCTGCGCTGCCACGAGGAGATGCGAGTATGCAACCTGTCCGCACTCCTGAATCCGGCACTGAAAACCTTTAGTGAGGTGTCGTGCTCGAAATGAGTGACACAGTATTGCCTCGCTTAATCAGAGCCATGACTATATTGCTCACCCTATTTGAGTCATACGTAATCACCGAATTCTCACTCTGGAGGAGTAAGATTTCCCTGAACTCACCCAATCGCAGTGAGGAACCTCATTCTCATTGGGTGAGGACCGCAAATTATGACTCAAATTGAGTGTGAGTCAGATATCTCGCTACCAGGAGAGTAAGATTATTTGTGTCACTGATCTCACTCTACTGAGAGTAAGATATCTGACTCTAGCATTTTCAGTGGGTACAGTAGCACCGGAAAAAAGGACAGCTCAGATCACAAGCGCGAAAAAAAAGCGCGAAAAAGCGTGTCGACGACGTTGTCACGTTCCCTCATTCTCAAACGTATCCAAGAGAGATATGGAAAGAGACAGCAGACAGAAGGAAGAGGCCGGACTGCTGCGAGATGGATCGTAGCGCAGCTGCACTAAACGCTGCAGCAAGAAAGAGGTGGATATAGGGGAGGGACGCAGAGTGATGGCGAGAAGGGCGGGAGTGAGGAGCGTACACGGGGGGCTTAAGACGGAGAAGGAGACGAGGGGAAGGGGTGGAGGGAGGGCAAAGAGAGAGAGAGAGATACGAGAGACTAGACTGCGAGAGTGACAGAGACAGAGATGGGCCAAGCAGGAATGTGCGGCGCCCTATACCTGATACGCGAATCAACTTCTGCCGCGTCGATGGAAACTCATGGGTGCCCTGGTCAGCCTGGAGCCGCCGTCGTGGCCGAGCAGCAAGGGGCCGCGTCCGAGGAGCGGGGTGGCGCAAAGCCGCAGAGTGCGGGTCTCGGAGGCGTCCGTCTGGCGACGCCGAGGTTGAGCTGACGCGACCGCGACCACGCGGGGCCCGGCGGGGCCCAACGGGCTCGGACCGCAACAAGGATCGGCCCGTGTGGAAATGCGATCCCGGCCGGTAACGCGAGCCCCCCGCCCCTGCCCGGCCGGCGCGGCGTCCACTCGGACGCCCCCAACTCTGAAAGCTCGGCGGGAATTTATCGGAGACGTGTGTGGGCGAAATCGATCGGCCAAATACACCGCATTTTCGCTAAAAATAAAACTCTCATTAAAAATCGCCCTTTTAGCGCGTTCAGTTGTGTACGGCGAGAAGAAAGCCTAAAAGGGTTCTCACTCCCCTCTGCTCTGCTCTGTGCGTGATGAAAAACTGTCGCTGCATCGCGGTCTGCCCTCCTCTGGTGGCATCGAGCACGTACCAACCTGACAACCTCAGCGAGGAAAAGAAACAAAAAGAAATGAAGATCATCGAGTCTGAACGGTTGTTGTGATGGTACAGCGGCAGGAAGGAGAGGAGGGCCAGGGAGGTGAGGGGCGGAGGAGATCGGTGAAAAAAGGGTCGGTGAATTTCTGAATGACTGCCAAGTGTCGCGGGCACCGCCACTCCCCTCCGCCAAACCCGTGAATGGTCGGCCCGCTGCGCGCGGGGCGCCGCTGACATGCCTCTGTGTCAATTACTTTCAGGAAATAGTCGTTTTCGTTTTGGACAGTCGTTAATAGACATCCGAGCGGGCGCGGTGGGGCGTCGTCGTCGCCTATTCGCGAGCGCGGTGTGATTTAGAGCGAGGGGAAGGGGGCGGCAAAGGGTTAGCAGGGGTCACAGTCACACGACAACCAACCATCTAGTAAATAACCTCGCAAGTCAAAATTGAAGGAGATAAAAATACCGTGGAAGAAAATACTCAGGTTTGTGTGTTTCGTCAGACTGCAGCACTTGCGACTTCCAGCACGCGCTTCTCTACAAATCCGACTTAGGCACCTCGATCACGTTTGGTAATTGCCTCCACGTGTGCAGCCAGGAGGGGCGGCAGGTAAGACGTGGCGGGGCGTGGCGGGGCGGGGCGGGGCGGGGCGTGGCAGCGCACGTGTCGCCAGCGACACCTTCCCTACCTGATAAACCTGGAAATGAAATGAGCCGATGCGCACGCGCTGCTCTGTGCTTTGCCTACCGAGTGCTTTTATATCAGATACCTCTTACAAACCAAACCTCCCTAAAAGTTTTTAAAATAAAAAAATTAAAATAAAATTGAAACTTAGACCAACAAAGAAAGACTGTTATTTTCGTTCACAATGAATAAATTTGCTACAAGGCATTTAGTTACAAATATTCGAGCAGCATCATATATGCACACTGTGCACCAAGTGCATATGAATGCACTGCAGGTGTGCTTATGCACCTCACGGCGGGGAAGCGGCCGGCGCACGATCCACTGCATACTGCATATTGAAGGTTTTAGCTTCGCACGAAGGACTCATTTCAAGTAGGTGACAGTGGGAGGGGGCCCGTCGGGAGAGAGAAGGACACGACTTTTGTCTTTCAGGGACTAGATGATGTACTGTAGACAGCGTCAAGTAAAACAATTTTTCGCGTTCTCTGACTTTCACGATAGAAAAAGATCCGGCTAAGCGTTTCTTCGGTTGGCTGCGGCGCCACTGGCACCGCCTCGCAAACTTATTGCTTCTTCTTTTTATTTTTACAACAGCTCATCAAACCCAGAGTGTCTGAGTGGCTCAAAGTTACTCTCATCCGAAAGTGAAAATGGATTGGACCCGGGCCACGCACCCGCACCACCCACTTTGCCAGTCAGCCTCAACGCGCGTTCGATTGTGGCGCGCGTCTGGAGTGGCTCGCCAGTCAGTTCAGTTGCCTTGACCCTGTTGCCGTGCTCTCCAAACAGCAGCAGCAGCCCAAGCCCGGGTGAGAAAACCGTGGCCCAGAAGCCGCAGCGCGGCGTCTGGTCTGGCCCGACTGGTTAGCACGTCCGCATTCGGTCGAATTGAGGAAGGTACTGCCGCTCCCGCCGGCCGCAGCCGCCCTATACACCAAAACCGCCACGAACCACTTGATTTTCGGCGCAGCGGGAAATAATAACGACCCTGCAAAAAGATCATCAGCGGCCGTTATAAGCCGCGGAATGTTTCAGAAATAGAGCGGCGCTCCTGAGCCGCCCGCCTACGCGGCCTAAAGCTCGGCTCCACACGTGGGAATGGAGCTCCTTAACGACAGCGGTCTATCCTCCTTTTTTGTGTGGGGGATTTTGAGGATTTTGTAAAATGGCTTCACACCTCCACTTCACTCCGTTACGTCTGGTAGTAGTTACATGAGTCACTTTCATCCCTCTCCGTTTCTTTTTCATCAAAGTGACCTTTTTTTAAAACAAATTCTTCGTCACGTTGTGTGACGTTTTACCAAAGTTTGATAGGGTGCATTTGCCGTCGGCCGAGGATTTCCAACCACTCGAGGGTGTCGTTTTCCACGGTTGGGCCGGCCCGTGTGATGACGCTAGTGAAAGGGAATGAGAAGAATGGCGCTTGCAAAGATACGCTTGGCTGCCATGCATGACCGTGCCGGCCCCGTCGTCGTATGCTTTTCCTAACTAGCTCCTTTCGCGAGGCCGCCAGCAAGTTGTTCACCATAGGGTATCTTTACCACAGCTTCTTTAAACTCGGTTCAAAAATGATTGTTAATGTTTTTCCTTTAATATTTCCCGAACGACGCAAGACATCGAAACAAACCGAATGGCTACTCTGAGATTGTGTAGCCCTATAAAAGGAAAGTTGCTTCTTAAAAACCAACTAAACAACACAATTTCCTCTTCAAGTAATAATGTTGTTGATAAAAAACATCGGAAACATAATAAAATTTGATCTTCCGGCACAAAGTACCGCGTCGGGTTATAAAATAACGAAAATTCAGCGATGTTTAAATTCAACTTTAATTTGCTACGAAATCTTGTACCGTTCCGAATGAAAAAGTGAAAATTAAAAACGGCAAAAACAACTTTGGTGGCGCAGCGACGCCCTGCTTCCTTAAGAGGGTTTTGTGGTTCAATAAAATTACAATCTGCAGTACCCAACAACATGCTTGACGTGCAGACGTCCATCCGTTGGCAACTTCAGACGCTTCACGGCTGATCTTCCCCACGCAGGGAAGGGTGGGCTGCAACACGTGGATGAGGGCAGCACACCGGGAGCAGGGAAGTACCATGCCCCCCCCCCCTTTCCCTCCGGGCGCCGAGCCGCGGGGCGCCCTGTGCGCCGGCAGCAGCCCGCCCGCCCGCGTCCCGCGCGCCAGTCGTGGGGCGGACGCGGTCCCGACAGGACGTATACACCGTCTACGCTGCTCGTCGGCTGCGCGATCGCGAGCGAACGGCGAAAGGATCGTGTTCGGTGTGTGCTGGAGAGCGAGTGTGTGTGTGAGCGCGCGCGAGCGAGAGAGAGAGAGAGAGAGACAAGGACTCTTTTCAGATATAGTTGTGTGCGACTGTAAACGTGTTACTGTGTTGTGTGTTCGGTGAGACGTACCCAACCCTGTGCATCAAAGAAGTTAGTGTTTCTGTTTTTGTGTGTGTGTGAGTGTGCGTGTGCCATGGATTTAATATCTTCACGCAACCAAAGGATACGCGCACTTAGAAACAAAAGCAGAACGACATTATAAGGTATGTTAAGCTGGTATGACATTTTGTAACTTCTCCTATAATAACAATATTTTGCAACGTTAATTAGATGTCTAGTGTAGAGGTATCGAAATTATTCATTAGTCGTAAGAAGTAAACAGGACTGTTCTATAGGTGGGTTCTTTTGTTGGTTTTTCTGTACTCTGTATGCAGGCAGGATTACCTGTTTTCGCTCCACTGTATAGCGCCTTATGGTGCCGGTGAGTAGGCAACCCAGCCACACTCCGGGTATGGATACAAACCAAACACTGTTAAAAATGTTTTGGGATTTCCCGAAGATTCACTGTCAACCCCTACTAGAAATTCCCAGAGGACTCCGTTTTTAGATTTCATGTTTTAAATCAGCCATTGGAGGTAGAGAGTTATTATTCGCCTGTATGTTTCGAAGCTCAACTGGACACGTGAAATCTACGGAGTCCTTTGGGAAATCCCAAAGGACTTTGGCAATATTTTTCACGAGTGTTCCTCCGTGAAATCCCAGAACTTTTTATAACAGTGAACCTTTGGGCGGCCTATGGAAACCCAGTATAAGAACAGACACCTTTGACTGTGCCGTACAACACCTACATGTTAGAAACCCGAACAGATTTTATTCGCCTATACCTGTAACTTTCGACGCATATATCTCGCTCTTTGGGTCGCAACACCATTTGTTGCAATGTCCTTTGCTGCTCGCCTCACTCTCTTGCGGTGTGGTGTGCTGACATGCCTCACCGCCCTCACCGCCTTGTCGAACACAGCGCCGCTGTTACGTCTCTCTCTCTCTCTCTCTCTCTCTCTCTCTCTCTCTCTCGTTGACTTGCATTCATCTCGTTGCAACAACAGCGCGACGTGACAACCGCATCACCTCCTTGTTGCTGGTACAAAAGGGCTCCGGCCCGGCTGTTGTGGTTTCGGGGTGCAATTATACATTATGCCGTTCCTAGGCGAGTTACAAGGGGCCCGTCTGGCAATAATAACCTCGTAACAAACGCGCCCTACTTTGACGACGCATTGATCAATGCATTTCTATTCAAATCCCGCAGGGCGGCTTCCTTCGCCCTCGTTGCAACGAACAATTTCTCATTAACATTACACGGCAACGTGACCGCAAGCACAACAACAGGCCGAAGAGGTGTTTCGCGGGGGCGTTTGTTGTGGTCCCGACCAATCAGTGACGAGTCTATCATCGGCGCGCGAGTATTTGAACGGGTCGGGCCGAGCGGCCGCGCGCTGCCTCTCACCGGGCGACGCCGAGGCTCGACCGTGATAAATTGGAGAGAGAGAGAAGGGATTGTTCTAAAGCACACATTGGAATCCAGTCTTGTCCCTTTTACCTTCACTGTTAAAAATACCGTACCCAACTACAGCAGATACTACAGTATTTTGTCTACGGTTTGTCACAGTACGGAACCGTACGCCATATTTTGCCGTATAGGATACACTACAGGCAAACCGTAGTCCAAAAACAGCATCTTTGTTCTGTACCATACCCAGAGCGTCACTGGCCTGGAGATTGACTCGCTGGTTAGCTCTCGCTGATGATACGTCACGCCAGATAAGTCATACGCCAGAGGTGCCGCAGACCAGTTGGATAGCGCCCTGCCTGTCCCAGCCCCTAGAGTGGCAACTATTTTTGGACTTCGAAGTTGGTGGTCATTCCCGACCCATTCCTCATACAAAAATAATACAAACGGCATACCTTTAGATATATTGTAAGGGTACAGCAACGTCATGACTACAGTTTTGATACGGTGCTCCTGTACCTATTCTGTATGATGTACGGTTTTGGTACGGTGCGTTCTGTACCTCTTCTGTAGGAGGTACGCTTTGACCACAGACGTGTTAGGCAAGTGTATGACCAATAGTTTCCTGTACCTATTACTGTGGTTTTTTGTAACAGTGTTGAGCACCGCGGAACGCCGATCAGTCAGCTTCGTTCGATTCCAAAACCGGGATCGGAGATCGGGCGAAAATAAAATAAATGAACACGGACAATGTCGACGATCGGAGAGTCAAAAGTAAAGTGGAGTACAGACGCGAATCTTTCAGGTCCCCTCAAAGGACACCTGCGGGACGCACTGTGTGCTCAGCCGGACCGGAAGACACTTCCGGTTCCAAAGGTCGAAGCAGGTTTCCTAGACCTCGTTATATGGGGCCCTAACTAACAAGGTAATCACAACCTGGACATTCTCTGATAAAAACAAGGCTCTTTGAAAGTTCCCGAAGAGTGCCCCCGGATGGGATATCCACCACATCGGGGACCAAACGGAGGGGGGGGGAGTGAGTCAGACGGCAGCGTTATATTCGTTGTCATCATCCGCCCTGTGTTCGAACGAGAGGAAGAGGGAGAGAGATGGGGGGGGGGGTTTATCTCCGGGTGGCCGAGACGCCTCTCTAGTCCCTATCGGAAGGACACGCCGGCCGTGTAACCTCATTACTTGGGGGAACATAACTTGATTATGGGAGCAAAGAATCGAAGAGCGAAGGCGTCTGGGCCCGGCTCGACCGCTCCCCGCCAACAACGACGTCTGGCCGGCCCCGGCAGCTCCGGCCCCGGCGGACAGAGAATGTTCTTAGTGCTTTTCTTTTTGCTTTTCTTCGCGTCGTCAGTTTAGTTTAAAGTGTGAGGCGCGATGATGGAGTATTGAGTTTAATACTACTCATCGTAATTGCGAGTCCGATCGCCCTCGGGCAGAGCAGTCATTCCTCACTTAAAAACACGGCGCGTCTGAGGTCCGGGAGGTCGGGTCGAAGTCAGCTCTCGACAACCCAGCGTGTATGCACGTATTTCCCTTCCAGGGCAGCTCGAAATATCGCGACGCGCAAGACGTGCAGAAAAAAAAACTACCCACGCGTCCGCCGCTGCCATTGCAAAATGGGATAAATTTTGCACGAGTCAGCCGCGTGGAGGCGCCGCCACCGCTGCAGCTGCCGTCAGGTCGATGCGGAGAGGTGCTAAATGATGGACGCAACCACCGCGGCCGCGAGTGCGTTTTTACATTTTAAGAACTTGCAGAGGCGTTCGAGAAATCGATACATAACGGAAGGGAAAGGGAGGGGCGGATGGTGGAAGAGGGGGGAGGGGCGACAAAATGTAATTAAGACATTTTCGCCAGCTCAGGACATGCCTTTTTTATTTTAGTATTCAGCCAAGACGACGACGTGCCGGAGGGGGCCCGGCTCCTCCACAGAGACGAGAGAGGGGAGGGGAGGGGTGGGGAGGGGGAGAGGGAGGAGAGGGAGAAGGAGGAGGATTGAAAGGGGCGTACGGGACACCTACACAATGACCCTCTCGTATTCGGTCGTCTTCGGACACCGTGCCCGCGCCGCGCCACGCACCTCCTTTATGTGCACTTTTTTGTCTCTTTTGCGCCGAATCAGTTTTATTTCATGCAGCCAAGACAGAGAACAACAAGACAGAAAAATAATAAAAGGGCGCGGTCCGCATGCGTTGGGCGGAAAGAGAGAACAACGAGCGGTGCAAGAGGCCGTCGCACGAACCGAGTCCGCCTTTGAATTTTTGTTTCACTTTTGGATTTTCCTGGCAGAGGCACTGGAAGCCTTAGTGCTGGTAGAGAGCAGCTCATCACATCACATCATATCGCAACTCATAACTCATGCAAACAATGGGATCGTCCATAGGAAGTAGGTCCGCGGAATCTTATAATTATTCGGCACACTACGGATGCTTGGCGCCTGCGAGACTCGGGGTAGGCCACCCCACAGTGCACGCATGCCCTCCGGACAAGATGTTGCCTACCTACCAGGCGCTATGAGAGCCTGCATGAGCTGAACGCGACAGGTTCGCTAACGGCGAATAACGCACGTGCGTTATTGAGCATCCGTGAACATAACAGGTGGTGCCATGATTGTGTTAAAAGTGCGATATTGTGTAGTCATGCTCGGCCGAAACCAGCGGCTCTTGGCCAAAGCACTTGCTAAAACAGCCCGCAACACTTTCACCCTCATTATTTTATCGATCAGATGCAACAAGGTACTGCCTCATGACCGGCCTATTAAGATCACAGATCGCGGAGCGGAGTGTCAGGGCCTCAGGCCCACCAGGGGGAGACTATGGCCGGCGCCCTGCGCGAGCGTCGACTGGGACGACTTCCTGGAAAACTGCCGTGTATATCTGTCGGGTCATGCACGTTACATATGTTCGTTGCATAATAATTCCCGCAGTGTGCGAAATGCGCGACAAAGCTTAAATAACTAACCCTTTTGTTTTATTTCCTTCTCCCGTGTCTTATTTTTTTCCTTTCCCGCAAGAAGCGCGGCCGCTGAGATCGCACTCAAAGGGTCGCGTCCCGGGGGCTGCTTATCGGCCGGATAAGTGAGTTACCTGAGTTCCCGGAGGTCAGCGCGCCGCGCCGCTCCGCGCCCGCCCATACAGGGCACCCATACTGGGACCGAGGAGAGGCCCCTGCCCCCGCCGCCCCCCGCCGCGCCCCGCAGATTAGCAGTTCTGCCCTGCCCTTTTCGCCCGCTGCTGCTGTCTTTTCGAATGTACCCGATAACCAAATCAAGAATCTGGTCGCCGCCATATGCGGGGCCAGGCCGGGGACGCCGCCGCGCCGCCCCGCGCTTGTCGCGCTGCGCTGCGAGAGCCCCGCCGCTGCAGCAGCAGCAGCAGCACGCCGCCGGATCTGAATTCGAATCTTATGTCACTGATTGGTCCGGGTGGGCCACACCTTCGCTGCCAGGCGGGCGACGTTCTTGCTACGCGGGTTACTGCACACTAACTGGTGAGATGAAAATAACGTCATGCACGATCGGCATGGAACTTTTTCACCGCATCTTTTCACGATCCAAAGGCCTTTTGGAGAGTATTTTGGGTCATGAGGGACGCTTTCAATGTTCTTTTTCGACTCGGGGGCTCCTGAAAAACATTTCGACCATTTATGGTCGGCGTCAGTCAGGTCCAATTCTATCTCATGGAGCGCACCGTAAAGACAAAGACGACCCGAGTGCGATATTTCCCGGAGGGGTCCGGGGCGCGCCGCCACATGTCAGCGGGTATAACGTGAATGTTATCAGGCCCCAATTGGTAGCGGCGGGGCGGGGCGAGGCGAGGGCTTCAGGTGGCTCGGCACCACATTTCACTCCGCGCCGGCTCCTGCCGCCGGCCGCCGCCGGACCCGAGGTGGGCACCGGTGGTCGGTCGGTAGAGGGCCCGAGTGGAGTGGTCGGCTACCCCTCGCTCGCCTTTGGCCTGACATTTGTATGGGTATTGTTGCGTTTTGAGAAGCGCGCGCGTTCTCGTTCTGAAAAACAAACGAAGGGAGAATGTCTCTGGCTACTCGTTTGCGCTACCGTAGGGGAGTGCGATGCCATCAACCTGGGCGATATATCCCCCTCCACCTCTCTGGTGCGTCTACCAGCACTAAAGCAGCAGCAGCGGCAGTAGCAGCAGAGGGCCCGCAACTGTTCACAGATCAACGCGGGGTCGTGCCAGTCACCCGGCAGACTCCATTCACCCCAGTGATTACAGGCGGAAATCATAGATCACAAACAATTACCATACTCTTCTTATCGGTCGCAGTCGCTGCCGCTGTGGTGGTCTCGACTTAGCCGCCCCGCCGCAGCTTGCAGCGCTTCCCCTTATGGCAAGTGGCTCTTATTGATTTTTGATTGATCCACTCCCATTCTGTCACCCGAATCACCACATTATATACGTACTCGGGGCCCACTGGCGGGCGTGGTGGCGGGCGGCGCCCACCAGAGACGGGCGGACAGGCGGGCGGACAGTTGGTTATTATCACTCGATAACGGATTAGGAGGAGTCCTTGACTGCGGTGACCCGGCTGACCCGACTACTAACGTGCGAGAGGGAGAGAGAAAGAACAGAGGTCGGGAGCAAAGGAGGGGCCGTACACAAATTACGTCGTTTTTATGGGAACGGTAACTTATGTCACGGCATTTTTACTGATATGAAAGGGATAGAGACCAGTGGCAAAATATACTCTCATCGCAGGAGTAAAATTGTGTATGGTACGCGAGTAACCTCTACAGACGTAATTTGTTTACGCCCTCTAGATTTCCAATCTAAAAGGTTTTAAAATTTCAAATCCTAGTCTATCAATTTAAAAAAAAAAAATGTTGTAAAACCTACAAATATATTTCACAGCGACCGCCAAGCAGTCTTTAATTATTGTTCTTTCCAAGGCCTCAACAGCTTTGCTTGTTTGTCGTTGCAGATGAAGTGAGCGTCGGCGAACGGTTAGCGGACTATGGCGGGCAGGAGCAACCATGGCGATAACACCTGGAGGCTGCCGCTGCTGCTGCTGGCCTGCGTATGCCAAGGTAAGGACTGTAATGTAACGTGAAGCAGAGGGAGGGGAAGATGCCACCCCACAGTGCACGCATGCCCTCCGGACAAGA